AATAGCATTGAATTTAGTATATAATTTCAGGAAGGTATCAATTATTTCTTTGTCTTTTATTTTTGTTAAGGTAAAATAATATGGTCTTTTTGGACAAATAAATGCAAAATAATGGGTCATATATTCCAAAAGTTTAGTAGAAAGAAATTGGGCGTGGGATGTCCACAAGCAGGGGTTAGAGCCCATTTGTGAAGTAGGTCACTAAAATTAAAAGAATATAAAAATTAGAAAGGAGTTGAAGATAGAAAGATTCTTAGACTCTGCCTCTTTCGACTTTCGAAGTTTATCTATCGATGGCTTCATCCTTGTCGCTCAGTCCATCCTTGTCCCTCAGCCGTCCAATTGATCGAAAATGGTTTGTCGGATTTTCAAATTATCCGATTGCAGGAAAATTGACGGCTGGATCTTGTTCTTCCACCGAAATTGGTTGGAATAGGTTTAACTCCTCATTTTATCCCAAAAGCATAAGTACGTTGGCCGAGCCTATATTATCTCCGACTTTACCGATACATAACCCATCATCATCCTCGTCATCTCCTTGTCTTATGCTGCAGCCTGCCTTTGACGTCGACGTTAGCGGCGCCGCAAGCATGAGCTACAAGTTGTACCGCTTTGCCGACAACAAAATCATAACCCTAAGTACCAGAAAAGGCAACAAAGAAAGACAAGGATTAACCATGTGGCTTAGTGGATCTTATTATTGTGTATTATATTTGTATTTAATATTTGTAACGCTACAACCGTATATATATATATTAAGTTTATTTTACAGCGAGATCATTGAGAATAGATGGCCGCCATTATATTTATCTCTTATCTTTAGCATGGTATCAGAGATTGGTTTTTCCGATCGCAACAATTTATCTGTCAAATTTTCTTTGCTGATTCATCTATAATTTCCGGTTTGGAACTGTCTTCATCCCTCTTCTGTCAATTTTTCCTCGAATTGTGTGGGTTTAAAAGAGCTTATATTAAATAGCTAATATGCCTGCATTGCAGTCATGAGAAAGGGTCAAACTGCAGGATATCTCCTCAGAACCAAAACCTGTAAAACTTCTGGTTCTTGACATTATAACAAAAAAACAAAAAAAAAAAAGAAAAAAAGTCCAATTTCATAAAGATTCTTCGACATCCATGGCATATTCTTCGACATCAATCGTGTCAGACGCGGCCAACGGTAGTGCCAAACTTGCTGGCCAACGTGCTGGTGACCTTTCCACGTGTTCTCATTGTGGTCAAATGGGCCATCTCGTCGCTACTTGTTTTGAGATTATTGGGTATCCGAAATGGTTTGGTGGTAGCCGTCGTGGTGTAGTTCGCGGCAAGAGTGGTGCTCGTACGAATGCGGCGTTCTCCAGTGGTATCGGTGAATCGATTGTTGCCGGTTCTGTTGGTTCTTCCACTACTAGTGGAGTTTTGAATCCCTTGTCTGGTAAGCATGGTTTATTTGATTGGATGTACGATTGTGGAGCAACTCATCATATGACAGGGTTCTTGGAGTTTATTTCCGATGTTCGGGATATTCCCGCCCGTCCTGTTCAATTGCCTAATGGTTCATTGACTATGGCTACCAAGGCTGGGACTGTTTCTTTGGGATCTCATATAACTCTCTATAATGTTTTATACGTTCCCAATCTTCGGTGCAGCTTGATTTCATTATATCAATTGTTGGATCGTTCCGACTGCACCGCTCAATTTACTAACAAATTATGTGTTATTCGAGACCACACTTCGCAGAAGGTGATTGGCACGGGTGAGCAGTTGGGCGGTCTCTACTTCTTTCGAGATACGGTTTCTACGGCAGTTTCTTGTGTTCGGAAGGTTTCTCCCGATGTGTGGCATCAACGTTTGGATCATCCGTCTGCTCAAGTATTGTCCTAGTTTCCTGATATTGATTATAGTTATCGTAATTTGCATAAATCGTGTGATGCTTGTTTTCGTGCTAAACAACATCGTCGTAGTTTTCCTCTCAGTCAGACTGTTAGTCATGAGACATTTCATTTGATTCATTGTGATTTGTGGGGTCCGTATCGTGTTCCGTCCTTCTGTGGTGCACGGTATTTTTTGACTATTGTGGATGATTGTTCTCGTGGGACATGGGTTTATTTATTGAATGATAAGACGGAGGTTGCTTCCACATTGTTGAATTTTTTCTCTATGATACAACGACAATTTAATAAATTGGTGCGTGTTGTTCGTAGTGATAATGGAAGTGAGTTCATGTGTTTGATTTCTTATTTTCGTCGTCAAGGGATTTTACATGAGACATCTTGCGTAGGCACCCCTCAGCAGAATGGGCGTGTGGAACGCAAACATCAACACATTCTAAATGTCACCCGTGCATTGCGGTTCCAGGCTCATCTGCCACTTCCTTTTTGGGGTCATTGTGTTCTGACTGCAGTTTATTTGATTAATCGTACCCCTTCATCAGTTTTGCATGGTAAAACTCCGCATGAGATTCTTTACGGCTCTGCTCCTCTCTTGTCTCATTTGCGTGTTTTTGGTTGTCTTTGCTATGCTCATAACCAAGACCGCAATGGTGACAAGTTTACTACTCGGAGTCGTCGATGTGTGTTTGTTGGATACCCGTTTAGCAAGAAGGGGTGGAGTCTATATGATTTGGATCGTCAGATTTTTTTCGTCTGAGTCAGATGACGAAGAGCCTCCGGTGATCTCTGTGCCGCCCGTGTCTTTGACACTCGAACTGTCCCTCTTGATATGAGTGCGTCCGATGACAGGGGAGGTTCTCTTACTCCTCCGACGGCACCGTCTCCTTTTGTTGTGCCTTCTCCACCGGTGGAGTCTTTAGGTCGTGGTCATCGGACTAAGATTCCTTCTACTCGACTGAAGGACTTTGTGGTTGATACTGTATGTTCCTCGACTACTCCCCCCACTGCTTCTCACGAGGCATCTCCATCCTCAGGTACGCCTTATCCCATAGCACATTACGTTTCTTGTGAGTCTTTCTCTCCAGTTTATCGAGCATTCTTAGCTGCTGTTGCCTCCGCTGTTGAGCCTCATAGTTTGCGGAGGCCATGACCGACCCTAGATGGCGAGCTGCTATGCAGGATGAGATTCGTGCCTTGGAAAATAATGGCACGTGGGATGTGGTCTCTCTCCCCTCTGGAAAACGTGCTATCGGGTGCAAATGGGTCTTTAAGATCAAACACAAGGTCGACGGTACTGTTGAACGATATAAAGCACGTTTGGTAATTTTGGGTAACAATCAGGTGGAAGGTCTTGATTATCATGAGACTTTTGCTCCTGTCGCCAAAATGGTTACAGTCCGACTGTTCTTGGCTGTAGCTGCTGCCAAACATTGGGAAGTTCACCAGATGGACGTTCACAATGCTTTTCTACATGGTGATATAGATGAGGAGGTGTATATGAAGTTCCCGCCCGGCTTTCGTACTGGTGTTGATGGACAAGTCTGTCGTCTCCGTCGTTCTCTATATGGCTTGAAGCAGGCTCCCCGCTGCTGGTTCGCCAAGTTGACGACGGCTCTCAAACATTATGGTTTCTGTCAGTCCTACCATGATTACTCTCTTTTTACCTTGCATCGTGGTTCTGTTCATCTGCAGGTATTGGTGTATGTTGATGATCTGATTATTTCTGGCAATGATTCCTCCTCCATTGCAGCTTTTAAGAGTTATTTGAATCGTTGATTCCACATGAAGGATCTTGGGTTGCTTAAGTATTTTCTAGGTATTGAGGTTGCCAGGAATGCTTCTGGCTTCTTTCTATGTTAGCGGAAGTATGCCCTCGGTATTATTGCTGAAGCCGGACTGTTAGGAAGCAAGCCAGCTGATTTCCCGTTGGAGCAGAATCATCAGCTTCCTCTCGCTGAGGGTGCTCTCTTGTCCGATCCTGAGCGGTATCGGCGTTTGGTAGGGCGACTTATTTATCTAGCAGTTACTCGTCCTGAGTTGTCCTATTCTGTGCATATGCTTGCTCAGTTTATGCATCAGCCACGGCAGTCTCACTGGGATGCTGCACTGCGTGTGGTCCGATATTTGAAGGGCTCTCCTGGTCAGGGGATCCTTCTTCATTCTGACTGTGATCTTCAACTCTATGCATGGTGTGATTCAGAGTGGGCGACTTGTCCCCTGACTAGACGATCTCTTTCGGATTGGTTTGTTCAGCTGGGTCAGTCTCCTGTTTCTTGGCGTACCAAGAAACAACATACTGTTGCTCGATCTTCTCCTGAGGCTGAATATAGAGCGATGGCTACTACCTTGTGCGAGCTGAAGTGGTTACGGGGATTGTTGTCTTGTCTTGGTGTCGCTCATTCTCAGCCTATGCAGTTGCATTGTGACAGTCAATCCGCTCTACATATTGCTGCGAATCCGGTTTTTCACGAGCGCACTAAACATATTGAGGTGGATTGTCACTTTGTTCGTGATGCTCTTCTGCAAGGTCTCATCACTACTATTCATGTTCCCTCTGGCGCACAACTGGCTGACATCTTTACTAAGGCGCTTGGGAAACGTGAATTTGATTTCTTTCTTGGCAAGTTGGGCATTCGGAATCCGCATGCTCCAACTTGAGGGGGGAGGGGGTATTATTGTGTATTATATCTGTATTTAATATTCGTAACCCTATAACTGTATATATATATATTAAGTTTATTTTACAGCGGGATCATCGAGAATAGATGGCCGCCATTATATTTATCACTTATCTTTAGCAGATCTTCACACGGCTGGCTAGCTTTGATGTGGCCCCGAAGCCGCGATTTGTCTCTCTATAATCCCGTCTCCCGTCGCCATATACACCTCCCTTCCCTTGGCGACCTGCCCAATTACGGCGCTGACTTGCCCTTGGTAGACAAGGTCATCCTCACGTGCTCCCCTGGGCCGAATTGCCGGGCCGTGATGATTTATAATAACATGCGTGGGCTGGCTTTCTGTTGCCCTGGGTCCAGCAAGGAGTGGACCCGCATCGGAGATCACCATTGGTTTGATGAAGATTTGGGGTGGGCCCACTCCAATGGCAGCTATATGGATTGTGTCTACACCCCAAGACACGAAGCATTGTTTAGCCTCACGGAACACGGGGTGTTGGATTCTTGGGATCTTCGGGACCCTGAGTCACCGAGGGCCGTGAAGATAGGCGAGGTCAGTCTTAGTCGCAAGATAGCACGTCGTCTCAGTTACCCGAGGACAGAGGACAGGGATCATTTGGTAGTGGCCGGGCAGGATCTCCTCGTGGTGACTCAGTACGTGGTTCATTCATTTAATTCTGATGGATTGTAATTTCACCCCAGAGACCCTTACTGTCCAGGTGTGACTATTGATTTTGATGTTCGTAAATATGACCCTGAGGATATGGATGTTAAGTACGTGGAGGGTTCGTCTTTGGGTGGTTGGGCGCTTTTTGTCGGCTTACACAGCGATGCAGTCGCATTGCCAGCGTCCGAGTTCCCGGAGCTCAACCCCAATTCCATTTACTTCACAGATGCACAAGAAGATTGCAAGATTGAGTATATCCCAAGTGGTGGCCATGACATTGGCATTTCAATTATGAGAACATGACTGTGTTGCCATGCTATTATCCATGTGATGCTAAGAACCTGAGAAAGACTTCCCCACCGCCTACGTGGTTCTTCCCAAGTCGTGAATGATGCCATATATACTGATTAGTGGTTAAAAATATAAATAAAAATAAATTATTATGCTCTCATGTTTATGTGTTAGATGGTGTCGGGTCATTCCTTTCTTATTAGTCCGTGCGATGCACGGGACACATATATTAAATGAGTAACTTTCATAATGTTTGTACGTTTAGGCACAAAAACAATAGTGTTGGATCATTCATTTACCACTTCTTTTAACCAGTGATGTTTAATTCAACCCGAACGTTAACATATTAATTAATATATTATTCCGCTAACACGTTATACTAATATAAATTTTATTATAAGAAAAAAATACTTTTACTTATTGTTGTTCACCATATAATACTCAATTATTATTTTATTATAAAATTTGTTGTCATATAATGTCATTATTATTATTTATAAAAGTTATGGAAGTAATCTTCTTCTTATTAATTTATGTAATAAAATTTAAAATAAGTTTTTGTGTATAAATGTTTACAAAATACACACACATGTTTTCTAGAATTCAATTTTCTCATAATAATTAAAAAACATTTATTATAAATATCCAGAAAAAATAAATCTCATGCATAATCAAGAATTTTTCTTTAATTTTCATTCTAAGGCTTTAGAGTTTATTTAATATATGTATTTATTTTACAAATAAATCACATGTTGAAAATTTAAAAAATAATTAATATATTTTAATTTTATTATCTAGCCATTTGTAAAATTATTTAATGAAGTGATCATTATCTCTTAAATGATAAATTATATTAGTTTTAGAAAGTATTTGTTAGATAGTGAAAGAAATAAGAATAAGTGTGGATCATTGAATCCACCTAGTCAACGATCATGATCAAGTCAAACTTTAGTAATTGAAAATCAATATGTTGTGGCATTCTTGTAAATATGTATACATATTATGGTCAGACTTATACATTTGACCCGGGTAAAACGGTCAAAACACTAAATAAAAATCATCTACCCATATGATGGACCCCACCCACCCCAATAACCGCGTCCCCCTCTCTCTCTCTCTCTCTCTCTCTCTCTCTCTCTCTCTCAAAACACACACAGTTCACGAACAATTCACAGCTTCAGCCCGCCGTCCGCCGCCCATCGCCTCCCGTTGCCGCCCGTCTCAGCTCGTCATCTTCTACTTCCAACGACGTCTCTTTCATGCTATCTACCTCCGTTTCATTTTCTCGGAGAAATCACTGCTGCCATTTGATCTATCTTCATCGTCGATTTCACCACTTTTTGCCGACGTCAGCATCTGTCACACCATCACTGTAGCCATGGCGCTCCTTGTACTATCCTGCGCACAAAGGCGGCGACACTCCGTGAAGAAATGGTCGATTTACCTTTTTTTTTGTTTAATTTTGCAGAGTCGCGGGCTGTGGTCCTGTGTGGCCGTCCTCGTCCGGCGACCATTTATCGCCACACGGCCATCGTGTCACGTCGCCACTGCTGTCGTTCCCCTCTCCCGCACAAAGGCGGCGTCGCTCCGTAAGAAATGGCAGATTTGCTCTCTTTTTTTTTTTTCATTGTGCAGAGCCGCGGCTGCGGCGGCACTAGTTGTGGGGCGATAAATACGGCGGAGGGTGACCGTAACGACGATGGCTGAATGCCGGAGTGAGCTCCGGTGGGAGGGGACTAAGGTGGCCGGTTGAAATATGGATTGGATTTGTGGGGTTATATTGGAATTTGATATATTGTAGGGTCTTGATTGCAATTTTTTGAAGTTTCATTTATTTCAATTTCAATTTAATATATAAGGCAAATGTGTAATATAACAAAAGATTAGTTATATGCACAATATATTATGTTATTATAAATCTTTAAGTTTAATCGGCCGGTTAACCGAAATAACAAAAAATAATCAAAATAAATTATATTATTTAATATAAATTCATGTTTAATATTTAATACTATGTATTACGCTTTGATTAAAAAATAATATATTATGTAAACGAAATATATTGTGCAATCTAACAAATTTTAAGGTGCAATCTGTCTAACACTATGGTGCACATTGACTTTCTGTATTGTGCAGTAGATTGAACCAACAAAACCTTTTGTCCTGACTCGAGTTGAAAATTAACATAACAACAGATTTATTCGGCTCAGTTAACTAAATTATCTTAAACAATCGAAATAATTTGTCTTTTTATACTAAATTTATTTTTAATATGTTAGTATTTTTTTATTATTATTTTTATATAATTTGTGGTTGAAAAATTTCGAGTTCGGTCAGTTTCGATCTATATTGTGTAATCTGATAATTGCGATCAAGTGCAGCGTGTTGTTTTATAAAGTGTATTACTGAGTTTTTATGACTATAAAATTAATAAAAATAATAATTGAACTGAAATATAAAATATTGAACCGACAATTTTAGTTGGTTTACTTTTAATATTGTGCAATCATATAGTCATTAACGTGCAATCCATACAATTATAATGTGCACTTGCAATACATAAAAATATATAAATTATAATCATAATATTTTTCAGATAGTTCGGCTCTTTCATTTTTTCATCGAAATAATAAAAATATATAAATTTTAAAATTATAAATATAACCTTATTTCAGTTGAAATTATCGAAGTCAAAATAACTTAAATTTTAAAAATAATTGAAATATATAAGAAAAAATAGAAAAATTATATTTATTTCAATTTTGATGAGTAATGTGCAGTATGACACACACTAATGTGCAATATGTCTAAAACTGATGTGCGGTGTTTCAGTCGATGATGTGCGGTCTGGCATACATTTATTATTCGTTTTATATTATTTTATAATTATATTATTTTTATTATTTAAAATATATGTATATAAAAATACATAAAAATAATACTTTTTCTTAACTTATATAATTTCAGATTTAACCCAGGGGCAAAATTGAAATATAGTCAAATTTTTTAAAATTGCTAATAAGCCCCTACACATAATCAAATTCTCAAAAGAAAACCAATCCCAAATTCTTTTTGCATCGTCTTCTAACTGCAGGGGATTGCCAGCCACGGCTGCTCACATCGGGATCGCGAACGAGATCTGCCATCCGGTGGACCGCGACTGAGACGGTGTTGTGAGTGGCTATCCGACGACGCCATGAGGGGCTATGAAATCTGGTCAATCGTGACCATCACCGATCGCCAAATGCAGTTCTAGTCGGGCTCGCCGGCAAGCTTTGGCCTTTCGTCAGCCGCGACCAGCACTCCATAGTGATAATAAAGCGGCGGACATGGATGACGGCGGGGCTAGATCGGCAGACATGGACGACGGATGGAGATGCCGGCGTTTGTGACGGGAACATTTCGGAGCTGCAGCGCCGGAGCGACGGTCGTCGGAGAATTCAAAAGCCGGCTGGAGAGATATTCCGACGACGGCGCTGGTGGCAGAGCTGGAGATGGTCTAGCGGGAAGGCCAATGCGTGCGTGTTTGTGTGTGTAGTGTGTGTGTGTGTTGTGCATGAAAGGCGGATCTGTGTGTGAAATAAGGTGGATCGGTGGGTGGAGTAGGTGGTAGGTTGAATTTAATTAGGTGAGTTATTATCAGATCGGGCCCATGGGTTAGTTGAATACAAAAATTACCCTATTACCCTTAATGTGTTTAAAATATAGGATATTTTTATAGCCGTTGGATCATTTGATCCGATAGCTTAGATTTATTCTTATTTCTCTCACTAAGCATCATTCTCATGTGAATCCAACTATATATATATATATATATATATATATATATATATATATAGGGTCACGCTCCGGCGAGAATGGTTCCTAGTGAAAGAAATAAGAATACATCGTAGTCATCCGATGTAACACCCCACTCATCAGAGTAAATTTTTCGCAACTTTTATTTCGAAAATATTTATAACTCTTTCGAAATCTTTTGCGACTAACTCGGGATGCTACTCAAACTCATTTTTTCTAAAAATCTGTTTTATCTTTAAACTTAGTCTAATACTTCTTTAGACATAAAAAAAAATAGATTTATTTAAACTTACATTTAACTATATCATATTCATACTTCTGAAATGATAAAAACTTGAAATCTGAAACTTATTAAAATGCAAGTTCAAGTCTTAATATGCGTAGCGGAAATACTTAAAAACGTGAATAATTATACAGACATATCAAGTTCATAATAAATGTCCACTGAAAGAAGTGCACGACCACCACCACCACATATCGAGCTCACACCTCCGGCCCGACCTTGTTACCTGAAAAACACAATGGAAGTGAGTACTGATCCTTTTGTACCCCGAAAACACCCATACTAAAGTAAACAGCAATAATAATACAATATCATGATCGTTGGTATATAACTGGACTGGAAATCTTTTCCAGTAACTGAAACTGAATCTGGCCGATATCTGATCGGATACTTGTGCACAATCTGATGGATATTTCTCAAGGCAACTAAGGGCCTCCATCAGAACTTAGGATATACTCTAAGGCAACTGAATGCCTACTCATCCCAAGCGTATAAACTTAAACTGTATACATACCTCGGACATGATATCAATATTATACTCAATGTAATACCCAGTCTGGGTCCCCACCTTTCTTCTTTTGAAACTTTGAAAAGCGTAAGTGTTGTTCTTTGGTAGCTAACTCCTCAAGCTACATAACAATATAAACAAATATACTAAGTATTATGCTCGTATACTCAATAATATGCTGGGATTCTTAACTCTACCAGATAACTTATCCGAATCTTAAAGATATTCATTAAACATGCTATTGCTCAAATAAATACTAAATCATTGAAAAACCAAACTTTTCTTAAACTTTTACTCATGGTCAAATACTTAACCCATATAAATCATATCTTTAAAAATCTTAGATATTGGCTTATACTCGCATGTCACTTAAATAACTCGTATGTGAAAATAAAGTAAATTTCACATTAGACTTAATTGAATACATGAACTCAAAACATGCTCAACTTTTACCAATATCATATACATGATTTATACAAATTTTTAATCTATCAAACTTGTCTTAAACTTGCTTGATATTAAAATCTCAAACTTGATACTTATTCAATACAAGTGTTTATTATAACAATAAATTATGATATTGATATACTAGACTTGAAACAATTTTATAAAATCACATACTCAACATATTGAGCTGAAACTTGGTCAAATTGCTCATCACTCATATACGAATTTTTCCTAAAAATTTCATATTAAAAACTCAACCATGTACTGAATACTCTTGCATATAAAATCATCTTGACATGTATGCCATATAAATATTTTAACTCGTTCATTTCTCAACATAAAATCATGAAATTTGGCAGTCATGTTCTTAACCCATATATAAGCATGTCGTAAAAATTTCATAATTTTATCATGCGTATATATCGAGTTATTACAATTTTAAAGTCACAGCTGAAATAAAGAACATAAAATTCAACTTGCATGCTTAACTTCAAAAATTTATAACTCAAGCTATACTATGCCAAATGACATAATTCTTTCACCTATATACTCAGCACTTACACAAGAAATATCCATAATAAGCTTAACATGCCAGGTTATGCATATCATGCTCAAATTCAAATCAAAACAGTACATATAAAACATGTGATTGTGCTGGAAACAACTTATCATTTTTTTTTCATGCTTAAAATTTCTTTAAAAATTGAATCTATATATATGGCGTGAAAATACATCAATATTCACTTAATATAAACTATAACATATGATAAAAAGGTAGCATCTAACCTTCTTCAAGAAATTTGAAAATGAAACTTCGGAAGTTGATCTCAACTTATCTTCGTCAAGATTTCTCTCGATTTATCTCTCTTTCTTACCCTCTATATCTAAGACTTTGCTTATTATGATGTGAATTTCGAGCCTATGCTGATGCTCCTTTATATAGGATAGCAAAGGAGACAACATCACCTTCTTTACATCAACACTCCATCATAATAAACACCATAGGCCCCTTATCATTAATGTTTTTTCTAAAATCTTGCACAAAGATGATTAAGCCTTGATAAGTACTTGTAATGCATGATTTATCTTGCATATATCAAGACAAACCTTCTCCCTTTGACCATGCCTCGAAATTAAGCTAAAGTGGCTCATTTATCCCTTAAAAATACTTAGAAAATTTTTATAAAAATAAATAAAGATAAAGAATGGAAATCATAACTTGTAAACATAACAAATCTATAGTCAATACTTAGAAAGGCCCCTCATGTGATCCTAATCTGATTTCCATGATAAAATTCGTGACTTAATGAAAAATTTCCAATTTACAGAACCGAATTCTGACTTAAAACGAACGGTTACCGAAAAATCGAAAATTCTAAAAATTTCAGATTTCCATCTTTTGCTTTTGGTCTTTTTCCTTTTTATGCTGAAAAATTTTAACTCTTATTAATGATCTTGAAACTTGTAAAAATACAAGAAAATAAATTTTTCGGAAACGAAATCGGACTTAATTATCGACTACAACTGAACATCGAAAAAACTCGAAACTTGCGAATATAATTTCGAATATACTCTTAATAATATAAATAGACCTTCTTGTCTAAATAACTTCTACTTAATCCTTATAACTTATCAATCAAATCATATAAGTCACATAAAATACTTAGGCAATTTATAACATTTACTCGACTAACTCAATTTAATGAAAAACGATTCTGATTTAACTTTAATGTCGAGCGAACTGAAAAATAAAATTCTAAGAGGTTTATTAAGGCTTGAAAATATAAAAGATCATTATTAATAAAAGTAAAATAGTTCTAACTTAGAACTGAAATAATTACTTTTATTAATTACTGAATGAGATATTACATCCGATCTGATAATCCAACGTCTAAAAAAGAGTCAAAATTATATACGGGTATTTTAGATATTTGTCTCCCACTACCAGTGGACCCCACAGGACCCACCACCCACCATGGGCCATCGGTTCTCTCTCCCCTGTCCCCTCTCTCTCTCTCACAAACACACACACACAAAAGAACAAAATACACACAGACAAGGTGAACGTCAATCTCCGTCAGGCCAGACGTCAATCTCCGACGACAGCCTACCTCCTCTCTCCGGCGCCCTCTTGTGGTCCTCGATTTACACCAGCTGACTGCCCTTCGTCGTTTTCTAGGGCCCCCAACCAGGAAGAACTAATCTGCCGCTGCAATGGCCACCGCATTTTCCACCGGTGCCACCTCCACAACCTTCTCCCCATAGCCCTCGCCATCTCGTTCAAACTAAATCTTATCGCCCGCCCCTTTTCCAACACTACCAGTCTAGAAATTCATACCCAGAAATCAACACACAACCTCTCAGAGCTGCAAATTTACAGTCCTGAAAATCATTTCTCGGCCCGCCAAAGGTGCTAAAAATATCGTGTTCCTAAAAATCTGGTGTTGTAAATAATCGATTGTGCGAAATCATCTCGATCTAGTGATGCTCTGTGCGAAATCATCTCGATCTAGCCGTGACGCTCCGTGCGAAATCAACTCGATCTGTGATGCTCCGTCCATAACCCATTCACCTCCGGCAAGTCAATAACATAGATGAAAATGAAAAAGGCCGACTGAAAAAACAATCTCTCTGTTCACTGGAAATTGGTTTTGGATTTTGGGGCTAGGGATATCCATTTGGAAATTAGATAAGCAATGGGGACTTAATTGCAATTTTAAAAATTTTAATTTATTGCAATTTAGGTCTTGGGTAAATCTGTAATTTTTAAAAAATCTGATAAATGCACAATAATGTCGAGTGAAAGATATTGTGTGGATATATACATTAAAAATATCCTTGCTTTTACAGAATACACAATAGTGTTATACTAAATGCACATCAATGCGTTTGCAAATGCACAATATATTATTTATTTTCAACATACAATAATATAAAATATTGAATAAAAAATTATAATTGCTAAATATATTTTAATTATATGGATAATTTGATAAATAAAATATAATGTTAATTGAAAATACATTATTAAAGTTTCTAAATTGGAATACACATAAAAAAATACCCGATCTATAGATTGCACAATAATATTATACGAAATGCACATTAGTGTCCGCGGGAATGCACATTACTGATTTCAATATTTTATTATCATGTCTTTTCAATAAAAATAATATAAAATATTAAATATAAATATAATAATAATAAATATAATTTATAGTATAAATAATAAATTATTAATATTGTATATCATAACTCGATTATCCGCTCGAATAATCGATTATTTCAATTAAATTTTAGTTTGGTTTGGGGCAAAACATTAAAAATGTATGCACTGGAAAAAATGTTACTTTGCTATTATATGTATATTTAGGCATTTACAACAAAAAACTGATAAAAAAATATTAACTAAAAACATTAAAAGGCTAAATTTATTATTGACTAATATATTGCACCAAAGTCGACCTAAATAAAATAATAGATCGGTTCGATCATTATTTTCACTTTTAATAATTTGATTATTTTATGTTTGGTTTCAACTTTATTTTTTATATTATTATATACATATAATAATTATTTTGAGCAAATATAGATTTAAATTATTAAACAAATAAATTAAAATACAAAATATATTTTTATACAATAAATTATATTTTACTGCGATCATTTTGATTAAATCAGTTAGCCGACCGACCAAGTAATTCACTTCGATTTTAATTCGGTTTTGGATAACAATTTTGTCGGTTCAGATTTTCCAAATATTCGACTCGATTATTTCGGTTTTAACGTTCCGGTCGGTCAATTTAGCCGAACCAACTGATAAACAACATTGTACATTCAATAGCTTGTTGGTAAAATTTGTATTTTTTTTTAATTTTTAACTAGCATATATATACACGCTATTGTGCAATCTATTTATCGTTAATGTGCAATATAACGAGCAGTAATGTGCAGTGTTTTAAACATTAATACGCAATTATTAGACTTCCAAAATGCTACCATTTTTTCGCTCAATTTTGTGCTTTTATTTGTGTGAATGCACGATATCGATTTTGGTATTTCATATATTATGTTTTCCAACCAAAAGTAATATAAATATATTAAAAAACATTATTGATATCGATTTTGGTATTTCATGTATTATACTTTTCAACCAAAAATAATATAAATATATTAAACAAAATTATTGATATCATAATTATACGATCAATATAAATAATAAAATATTATTAATATTTTATTACATAAATTAAGTAATTAGGTAAGTCTTTTAATAATTTATTACGTAAATTAAATGATTAGGTAATTCAGTTCAAAATCAATTTCTTTTGTAATAAAAGTTCAGTCGGTTCAATTGCACAATATCAACCAATCTATAAAAAAAACTATTATTTTTATATTTTATCTATTTATATATTGTTTGTTCTCAACCAACAATAATATAAAATATTAAAAAATAATTATAAATAAAAATATTTTTAATTATATAAATTAATTGATAATTAATAATAATATTAATTAAAATACACATTATTAAGGTTTATAAAAATTTGAAATACACATGAACGAAAACCCAATCAATTGACTGCACGATTATATTAGATGAATTGCACAATATTTCCTATGAGAATGCACTTGATTTATTTAAAAAATTTATATATTATGTATTTAAACCAAAATGATAATATAAAATATTGAATATTAGAATACTGAATTTATTGTTATACGATTAATCGATCGAAATAATAAATAATAAATAATTGTTATTTAGATAATTCGATTAATCGATCACAATAGTCTAATAATAATGTTATGTGAATTGCACATTAGTGTTAGACATATTGCATATCAATGCTAGACGAATTGCACATTAAAGTCTATCATATTGCACAACATCTAATTATCAATTTTCGAGTAGACTTTTTTTACCTTTAAAAACTCGATTATTTTGGTTCGATATCATATTTTTCTTAAAAAAATGAAATAACAAATCATAAATATATACAATTATTATTATTATTATTATTATTATTATTATTATTATTATTATTATTATTATTATTATTATTATTATTACGCAGCGCGATTGCACAACAACGTTACACGCATTGCACCTTAATAGCTGCTCGATTGCACAATATCTACCAAAGTCGACCGAAGTAAATCGTTCGGGACAACATTTAATAATTTGGTCCGAGTAAATTATTTTTACTTTTAAAATCTCAATTATATTTTGCATTTATCACACAGTATTATCAAATATAAGCCCCTTTTCTATATATAATTCTCAAATATAAGCCCCAACTCATAAACACTCCCTCAACATCACATGGCTCACCACTAGCAACCACCTGCCGCCTACTCCTCGCCGGCGACCGGTTATACGTCGCCGGAGAACGACCACTACACATACATAGCTCTGAGTCCTTAAAACTTAAATTCACGGCGGATGAAGATGGTGGCCGGAAAATGAGGCGGCCACTGCCGACGACATTCTCGACTACGGAGGCGTTCCCAGTGTACGACGGCGACTGTACGTGTTCGGGAAGATATGGTGTCGCCGGACATATCTTATTGAAGCAGGTGCCGACTTGCCGGTTTAATGGATTCTGCCGGATATTCGTAGACAGGTCCGATAACGGGCTGTGGTGGCCCGACGGTATGGCTGTGGAGCCGCCTCTGAGAGGATGCGGAGGCGCGAAGACTGGGATGTGTGGCGCGGCGGCCGGGATGTGGAGCCGCGGCGGCGAGCTGGATGTGCGCGACGACCGGTTGGTGACGGTGGTTGGGGATGGTGGAGACGAGTCGGACGACATGTTGTCGGCGGCAGGCGGAAGACAGCGGCTGCAGGTGGTGGCAGATCCCCTTAGTGTGTGTTTGTGTGTGTATGGTGGATATGTGCGTGCAGAGAGAGAGATGGATGTAGATCTAGTATGTGAATGTGTGTGAGAGAGACAAATTAGGGAAGGAGAGATGTGATGAGAGAGAAATTTAATATTTAATTGGTGAGTGGGTCCCACATAAATGTATGTGTATTGACTTACTTACCCTTAATTATTAATCAAATACACATATTTGACCACACTATAATCAAATAATTACCAGAATGCCATTAATGATTGACCATAAGTTGACTTTATCATACCATTGATATGATTGATCCCATAGTTCAGATTCATTCTTATTTCTTTCACTATCTACTATTCTCATATGATCCTAACTATATATATATATATATATATATATATATAGGGTCGCACTCTGGTGAGAACGGTGCTTAGTGAAAGAAATAAGAATACATTATGACCATTAGATCAAATAATCCAACGGATGAAAAAAAGTCAATATCATACGTTCAGTAAGGATATTTGAGACATTTTACACATTCCATCCCACAAACCTAATCTTATTAATGGGCCCCACATCTTAATCCCACTAACCCGATCACTGTTGCGCTCTCTCTCCCTGTTGCGTTCTCTCTCTCTCTCTCTCGCAGGCCGTCATCTCTCACCGCCGCCGGCACCCATCTCCGGTGAATCCGGCCCATACGTTAGCAGCCTGGCGATCGGCGCGCTCCACCGACACAGGCTAACATCTTCCTCCGTCTAGCCGTCACCTCCGAGAAACCGACGGCCTTCCGCTCGCGACCTCGCCACCGCCCGCCGCCGTTCCCGACGGTGCTGCCGCCGCCATCTAGCAGGTTCTTCTCCACCACGACGGACGATCCAGACGACCAATTTCCGCCGAGAAATATGAAGCCATGGTCTCACAGTCAAAATCGGCCATTGATGCAAGAGCTCGAAATTCACGAGCACCATCTCGACGTCGGACGTCCTGGAAACAAAAACGAGTTATCCGGTGCCTGAATAAACTCCACGTAGTCAGAAATTCAGAAGACGAACAGATAAGGTGGTCGGACGCCGTTTTGCCCATCCAGCCATGGCGGACCTAGTATGTTACCCGGTGGTTCAACAGCCATAACGGCGGCTGAACATGGTGGATCCGGTCGGTGACTCTCCGGTGGTCGGGACGACGGCGACGGGAAGGGTGGTCTGAAGGGCCCATAAGTTTTCTATGCTAGGGGCTTAATTTTTGGAAATTAGATCTATCAAAGGGACCTATATGCAATTTCTTTAATTTTAATTATATTATAATTTGGTACTTGGATTCAATATTTAATTTATAAAAAGTGTGATAAATACACATTAATAGACTAATAGTAAAAGATGTAGTGATTGTGTATATGCACTTTAAAAAATGTTTGTATTGTAGGATGCACAATAGTGATAGAACATATGCACAATAAGGTATGTGATATTGCACATTAGCACAACGCAAAATAACTAAATTAGTCGTGCGTGTGAAGTAAAACTACACATATGTTTCGGTCTTTCATAATTAATTTTTTGGATATTTCGATTCGATTTCGGTTTTCATTTGAAAATAACTAAAAATATCCGATTCTACTGAACTAGTTAATCAATATTATCTTTTACATTAGCTATATAATTTAATTATTTTGACCAAATAAAGATCATTTCGGTTCGAATTTAGGTTCATTTGGAATAAAAAGTCGGTCGGTTAAGTTGTTTTTTTTTTTCAAAATTTCGGCAGGGTTACTCCGGTCGGCCGGTTCGCTCAATGAAAAACCCAAAGAGCGATGCCATTTTGGTAAATTTGTGATAATGCTCAATATTGTTAGATGAAATACACAAGAATATTAGATGAATTGCATATTAACGCTTGCAATAATGCACAATAGTGTATATCACGCGCATTGACCTTGTATGAAATAATAAAAAGTACATTGATACCTTGTATTAAAATACATTAATCTATCGATATAATATGCATTATGTAGTTTTGGTCCAAGTCTTTATATGTAAGTTGGATTATCGGAAATTTACTTTTAAAATTTCGGTTATTTTAATATGGTTGAACATCAATAACCAACCGGAATATATAAAAATATTAGTATATATATTAGTATATATATACATATATATTAAGTAAAAAATAAAATAATATAATGAATGAAAAAATATTAAAATACTAAATATATTTTTATAATACACATAATAATTTATTTTTGTTAATTCGGTTAACTGACAAATTAAACCGATTATGTCGACTTGATTTTAGTTTGTTTTGGAATAAAAGTTCGATCTGTTCGAATTTTTGAAAGTTCAACACAATTTTTTCAGTTTTGACATTCGATCAATTTGTTCTACCAAACCAACTGATGAACAACCTAAACGAATCGGCATTTTGGTAAATTTGTGTACGCGTTGACGATTCTACGATTTCATAGAAATATTGTGGTATATTTATGTATCATTATTATGCAATTTATGTATCTTTGTTGTGCAAATTACATATCATTATTGTGCAATTTATGTATCTTTATTGTGCAATATACATATCATTATTTGTGCAATCTATATATCTTTATTGTGCATTTTACATATCATTATTGTGCAATTTACATATCAATATTGTGCATGTATTGAATTTTTATTTAATTACAGATTTGCCTCATGTGCTTAATTGAAATATATTGAAATTTAATAAATTGCAATTGAGTCCCTAGTACATATCAAATTTACAAAAAAAAAACCCCACAAATCATTCAACAAATTAGTCCCAATTACTTCAATCGCCGGCCATGTCCACCCGGACCCACCAGTCCGTCGCCATTGCTACAGTCATCGCCGCCTCCGCCCCCGCCGACCAGGCCACACCGATTGTTCATACTCCGCAACNAAAAAAAAAAAAATCGGACAAGGATCCACCTGCTAAAAGCCGTGAAATTCCTCCGGCAATTTCTCGTCAATTATTCCCGCAGCCATCTCGACGGCACCCGGCTGAACGGATGCGGATATCACGGCCAGCGCGACCATGCTGGTGGCAACCTTTCAGGCGGAACTTCCCGTGACGCAAACGCCGCTGACGGAGGACGACGGAGGCTCAACGGCGGCAGACTGTGGTGGTGTATCGTGGCCGTCTCTGTTTGCGTCGTGGCCGTCTCTGGTGGCGGTTGGTGGCGGCAGGCGGTGGTGGGCGGTTGGTGGCGACGGCGGCTCTGGTGGCGGCGGCGGGCTAAGAGAGCGGCGACGTGTGGTGGCCGGACGATCAATTTTGCTGTTTGACATTGAGAGAGAGAAAGACGGAGAGAGAGAGTGAGAGGAGGGAGAGAGAGAGGGAGTAATTAATGGAATTGGTGGTGGGCCCATGATAAATGTGTAAAGTCTAATTTATCCTTTGTGAATGGTCAAATGTGTATAATTGACCACGAAATTGATATGTAATTACAAACATGCCATCCAATGTTTGACTATCATATTTAAATTTTGACTTAATCATGATCATTGATTTGTCAGATCCAATGTTCCTCATTCATTCTCATTTCTTTTATTGTGCTCCTTTCTCATTTGAGCGCACTTCTATATATATATATATATATGTGGGTTCAAATAAGAATAAAAGACAAAGAAAGAAATGAGAATGACTTTGCACTATAGGATTTCGCGTTTCAACGGTGCAGATTGAGTAAGCAGATTTTGAATTGGTAATAAATAAACGTGGAACAATCGTAATTATTGGTGATTATTGAGGCCATACATGTGAGTAAAAGGGTGATATTGTAAAATACGCAAACTGACAGCTCACATGCCTTGTCAGCGGGCCCCACCCACCATCTCCATCTCCACTCATTCTCTTTTCTCTCTCTCCCCCGTTTATTCTCTTTCCTCTCTCTGTTACGCACAGAAATTCACTTTGCCATAGACATCTTATTCCAACACCATGAGCACCACCGTAGCCATCATATTCTGCCGCCGACACGCCCGGATTCACGGTGAGAGCAACCGTGTCCCGTTGCCTCCGACACCAACCCAGGCGCAACCACTGCCCATCGCAACTACAAGCCTCCACCATCCCCGCCACCATACATGCCGGTTCCACCGCCCCCCACCATATCCACGGCCACCAGACTACCGCCGCCAGCCGCCGCCAGCCCGTCGAATGAAGCAGACGGTGTGTCCGGCGCGCGGCCATGGACCGACATTGAATGGCTGCAGACGGTGAAGTAGTACAACGGCGGCGAGACTTCCGGCCATACCATGTCCGCACGCGGCCATGGACATCGCAGCCGATGGTGCAATCGGGAAATGCTTGTCGAATTTACATTTTTTTGGTGTTGGTGACTTGTTTGTTATTTGTGGGGTTTTGGTTGGAAAATTTGATATATTTTAGGGATTTGATTGCAATTTTTTAATTTTCAATATACTTCAATTCAGGTCCATTGACTTATCTATAAATTAAGAAAATAGAATTATATTGCACTTTTGTTCATGGCCAATTTTTGTAATTTATTAAAAATGTAATAAACATACAATATTGATAAGTAAATTACACATTATTTATACGAAACTATTAAAAATTTAATAAATACACAATAAAAGTATATATAAAAAAAATAAACATGAAATTCAATCGAAATAACCAAAATTATAAAATTAACTACAGATAATTGAACTGAAATATATAATTTTGGACGAAATTTTTAGTTCGGTTAGTTCTGATCACTATTGTGCAGTCAGACAATCATTAACGTGCAATTCGTTCAACACTATTGTGCGTGTTTTCGGTCTTTATTGTGCAGTCTAAATAGACCGAACATTTGTTACAAACTAATTTAAAACCGAACCGAATTAATTACTTTGTTTGATTAGGTAATAGAATTAATCAAAATAACAAAATTAAAATATTAGTTATAGTATAAAAAACAAAAATTTGAATATAAAGACAAATAATCAAACGACATAAAATTCAAATAAAAAAAAAATAGTTCGGTCGTTTCGGTCGATATAGTGATATCTGTCAGTCATTAATGTGCAATCACTCTTACACTAATGTGCATTCGAAGTGCACTTATTTTTTTTTTGATATTTCTCAAACCATATTAAAATCAAAATAATATTTATATAAATGTAATATAAAAATACTATTTTCTTTATGTAATTTGGTGTGTTCTATTATTATTATTATTATTATTATTATTATTATTATTATTATTATTATTATTATTATTTTCTTAAAAATAAAGGTGAAATCGGAATGAAGTCCCCAAAATTGTAATATATGTGAAAGTGAACATTGTTATGCTAATGTGCATTATCGAACATATTAATGTGCATTCTGACAATCCTTAATGTGCAATTTATTTAACACTAATGTGCATGTTGTGTACAAATTATTATTTTACCGAGTACCGTATCGAATGATTCGTTCCCCGGGTCGATCTCTCGAGGAAAGCGGTTCGAAATTCAGCTGTGGTATCGATTACACAGAAAAGAAAATAAATCCTAAACACTCTAATCAGATAAGGGGGTTTGAATAATTATCAACTAAGAAATAATAAAGAACATGAATCTACCTAAGAATATAAATGAAACGATGAAAAAAGAAGCTAGGGAGTCGGGGATACTTTATTCAAGTTCTATACGCAAAACCGGGACATTGATCATTCAGTTCGAGATTGACACTCTCGCTTAGACATCTAGCAGTTCGCTCCCAATAACTCTTCGTAATAAGGGATTGAACATAGACGAGCTAGCTCGAGCATACAACACATGTCAATTATCCCAGTCCCAATAACTTTTCGGAACAAGGGACGGGTTATCGACAAGCACGTATTTCAATCTAAAACTCATAGTTATTCAGTTACGAAATCATCTATCTCATGCGAGCCTAGGTCTACGACTTCTCCCCTTTCGGTTCTAAAAGTCGCTAATTCAATTAGAAGAGAATTAATCAACTAACCATTTAAAATCGACAAAACCCTAACTCAACTAATCAACATTCAATCGTTTTCAATTGAAGATCGAAGTATCACTCTTCGATTATATCAATCAATCAAACAAGATTTTATCGATTCCTAATCAAATTAACTCGCACAAGAACAAACGAATCAAGCCCGACAGATACGAATTAAACAAGAACAATCATTCCCTATCCCTAGCAATAGGAATTAGCTACGCAAATTGAATTCAACACAATAATTCATTTCTCCCAAATCAACCATTATTCATGAATTAAACAAGAGAGAGAAAAGAAACTTACCAATAATCTCAAGTCCAAATGTTGAATACGAATTACAAGCTTATTCTCTAAACACTAAGAAGAAGAGGGAAAAAAAATGGAGAAGAAAGGTGAAGAGAAGAAGAAAAACGAAGAAGAAGAAGAGAGGGAGGAGAAGGGAGTTTTTTTCGTTTTTCTGGACCTAGGGTTCGTCCCCAGGAGGGGGAGAATGTTTTCTATGAAGTCCCGATCACATATTTATAATTAGCGAGCGATACGGCGTGAGATTTTTTAGGCACAACGTGAGAAGCTGCGGTGCCGCGGCGCGGGACGACTGTCACGGCGCGAGGTGATGCGGTGCCGCGGCGCGGAGGCATGCCGCGGCGTGACGGGGCGCTTGGGTGGGCGCGGCGTGGAGCTTTGGCGCGGCGCGGAGAGGAGCTATGCCGCGGCGTGGGAGTGTTCAGCGGCGTGACGGGTAGCAGGTACCGCGGCGCGAGGTGAAGGCAGGCATCTCTGAAGGGCTCGCGGCGGTCGTCGTGGCGCGGTGCCGGCGCAGGGTCTGGGCAGATTGCTAGCTTTCGAGCACAACTTCACGTCTTGGGCTCGTTTATGCTCGTTTAGACTCGGAATTTGATTCTGTTTCTTCCTGCTTGTTGCCAACGAAACCCTCCATTTTATTATGCTTGTGCGACCGATTTTTTCCAGAAATCCGATCCTCCCAAAGCTTTCGACCTCCACACCATAAATAAAGAAAAACCGGAAAAAAACATAGAGAAAACACATAGAAAACCAAATTAGAGCAGAACACAAAATAAACTATAAAACAAACTAAAAACTAACAAAAAGACCTGATATGAGGAGAAAGAAAGGCAAAAAGACAACGAAAAACGCAACAAAAATGGGACAAACAACTCCCCCACACTTAAACCTTTGTTCGTCCCGAACAAAAAGAAAATAAAAGAAAACAAGACACGAGCATGGATATGGTTTCAAATAAAAAGAGGTTCAAAAGGTCCAAATCAACCAGGTCGAATTTCAACGACCGTGAAACCATATGCCTCAAATATCAACTTGGCCTCGAAATGACAAACTCTTAAACACAGAAATATTAGTAAATGCCTCACTCATTCTTTTACATGAATATATGATAGGATCGCTCAAATTGGTCAATAGTCCCGTTTCAACGTATGCTTGCCAATTGTCTAAATTACTCGGAAACAATCAAAGCTCAAAATTTGCAAATCAAGAGGACTTTCACGGGTTGTAATGTGGGCTTAAGGTCAAGGTACGGATATATATGGACAAGAAGCGCAAATAAACAATCAAGGTTCTCGAGTAATAGAATACTCGAATGCCCATCACTCGTCCAAAATCAAGAAGATAGTATAAATACCGTCCACCAACAACTCCACAAACAACACATATATGCTCTAATCAAATTGCAACATTACTCGACCCATTCCTTCTTTCTTTTTTTTTTGTTTTTTTTTATATATATATTTTTTATTTGAGAGTAACTTTTTCCGAACAAGATCGAATCAAAAGGACAACATTGTGTAGGTGCGAACATTGGAGGTCATCCAAGTGTCCTACAGTAGTTTTCCAATGCTCATTACCCGTCAACACTGTTCTAAAAATTGGCCTAGGCGGCCGTCTAGGCGCTAGGCGGTGCCCGGACACCTCCGATTTATACATATCGGCAGAAAAAATCGGCCAGGCGGCTAGGCGGCGCCTAGGCGGGCCTAGGTGGCCCTAGGCGCTTTTAGGCGGGCTTGGCGGGCTCGGCGGCCAGGCGGTTAGGCGGCGTCTAGGCGGACCTAGGCGCTCCTAGGCGGGCTCGGCGGCAATTTTTCAGTTTTTTTTTTATTTTATTTTTTTAAATACTAATTACATTATTTTGTTCTCATGTTTTCTTTAATATATATTAATATTATTATTTGGACTTTGGTGTGTGAATTTATTATAAGTTGAGATAGTTTTATTTTGTAGGTAGTTAAAATAAATAAAAAATAAGGCATTTAATATTGATTTATGGGCCCCGACCAGGTGCCGCCTAGGCTCCGACTAGGCGCTCTAGGTGCTAGGCGTTGGTCGAGCGCCTAGAGTGTGCCTAGCGACTTTTAGAACACTGCCCGTCAATGTGAATCGATTAGTAAGAGGAGCATAATCCATTCGAATCGCCTTGTGAGCTCTTGTTTTTTTTTAACTGGTCAAGCAAACAAAATGCAACTGAATATCCACCATATCCAGAAATGCCACCAATCCCCCAATCATCACACAAATCAGTCAACAGATTGACAAGAAATGGTTTTAAGCTCAAACGGGCTACTAGAAGAAAATTAAATTTTAGGACCAAAGAACAAGGCAGAAGTGAGCTAATCAAACAAAACGCCTTTTCATATTCGCAATTTTAAACTCTAATCGTTTCTTTCAAACAAACTCAAGGCAAGTTCTACTCATTCAAGAATATGACCAATATCTCACAAGAAAGAAAGAGTAAGGATCAAATCTCACAAGGTAAACAAATGTCACTCGACGCAATCAAGCAAATATTAAGGCAATAATCAACACGTCCGTCATCACAACTTCCCAATTTCATAAAACATTCATCAACAAATCATATAATCCACCAATACCATGCTCAACAACACAATAACCTAAAACTAGTCCGTCCCACCATATAAGCATGCAAAAATCCGAATAACTCCCCCACACAAAATGAGGCAATGTCCTCATTGCTTCAACACCAAACAAGAAGTCAAATAAAGGACCTAGCAATTTCATATCATGAACCAATACTAGCAGCTAACACAAGCATTAAAAGACTCAAAAGAAAAGACACGAAGCTACCACACAAAGATAAAAAGAGAATGGGTGTGCAAACCGAAGTAGCGCCGAGGGAACTAAGCATTCACGTGCAAGTCTTTCGCCCATGCTCAACCCAGTCTTCGATACTTCCTACCAAAAATCACAAAAACTCCAAACTCCAATTATTCAAAGATAAAACAAAAGGAAAAAAGAAAATAACTAAGAAAGCAG